ATATATATAATGAGATATGTTGGTGCAGTGATTAAGTGCTCAGCTGCAAACTGAAAGGTTAGTAGTTTGAGTCCAGCAGCTGTTCTGTGGGAAAGAGATATGGCAATCTGTTCTTGTAGAGATTATCACTGTGAAAACCCTTTGGGGAAGTTCTACTTTGTTATGAGTCAAAATTGACCTCATGGCAATGGCTTTGGTTTATAGTATGACACATAGAAAGAACATATTTTCATAATTAAGCTGAATATCAATGGATTTTTTTATATGTTCAATGTGAACATTAAAATTTATATAGTGGAGTGTACCTGAGGCGGTGGGAGGGGTGAGGGGGGATTGTATACCATAGGAAGAATTTTTCTTTTACTTTTTTCAAAGAGAGGAGCAAACTGGTGGGGGCGGGGAAGGCTGGGCAGGGAGAAAAGTGCAACAATGAATCAATGGAAATCCAAAATCTCTGTAAATGTTAATTAAAATTATTAAAATAAAATTTTAAAAAATTATATTACCAAAATATGTTAATATGGTAAAGTTGTGCCCTTGACTTGTGTTTGTGTGACCAACCATTGTTTCTTTATTCAAAGAAAATCAACACCACAAACTTTCCACTCATGTGCTTCTCTCCCTCCCTTTCCTCCTCCTCTGCTCTGCTTCTCCCTCCTCACCCCCTCCTCCCCTCACTCTTCCCATTTGCCACCATTCCCCTCCCCCTCGCCCTCTCCTTCTCCTGTGAAACCATATGAACCTATGAAAAGCATCCTACAGGCTCATAGGGTTTATATAGGGTGAATCCTGTGTAAACCACATGAACCCGATCTTGCAGTATCCCCATTGTCTCTGCCATGCCTATTGCTGCAGTCACTGTGTCAGCCCATCTCCTCAAGGGTCTTTCTCTCTTTTGTTGACTCTCTACCTTTCCCAGCATGACATCTTTTCCCAACAACTGGTACATCCTAACAACTTGTCCAAAGTATGTGAGATGTTTCACTAGCCTTGCCTATAAGAGCACCCTGCCTGCTCTTCCTCCAATCCAGTTTTCTGGTGTGTGGTTTTTTCCCCCTTCATTTGGCAGTTCATGGAGTATTCAATTCTGTAATCCAACACCACAATTCAAAGGCATCAATTCTTTTTTTGTCTTCTTTATTCATTTGTTCAACTTTCAGATGTATATGAAGCAATTGAAAATACTGTTTTTGATCAGGTGCATCTTGGACTTAAACTGAAATTATTGATCTTTAGCACTTTGGAAAGGTCCTCAACAGCAGGTTTTCCCAGTGCAACATGTCCTTTGATTTCATGACTGCTGGCTGCTACAAAGAGTGTTGACTATGGATCTAAGTAAAAAAAGAATTCATTGAAAACTTCAACAGTTTTCTCACCTACTATAATGTTGTCTATTGATAAGAAATTTTGTTTTCTTGAAATTGAAGTGTAAGTTATACAGAAGGGCTTTGATAGTTGTCGATACATGGTTCAGATCTTCACTTTCTGCAAGCAAGATTGTGTCATCTTCACAGCACAAGTTGTTAATGAATCTTCCTTCAATCCTGAAAATCAACATATTCTTGTTCATATAGTTCAGTCTCTCAAATTATTTTTTCCAGTATACAGATTAAAAAGGTGTGAAGAAAGGGCACAACTCTACTGCACAGTTTTCCTGATTTAAATCATGCCGTGTTTCTTTTTTTTCTGTTTGGACAACTGCTTCTTGGCCTATGCATAGGTTTGGCAGGAGCACAATTTAGTGTTCTGGGATGCCCATCATTGTCATGTCAGATGGATCTTAATTGAAAACAGAGAATACCAGGAAAACATTTACTTGTGTTTATTGACTATTCAAAGGTATTCGACTGTGTGGATCATAACAAATAATAGATAGCATTGAAAAGAATGGCAATCCACACATTAGAGTCTTTAATTATGACTCTTAGTTATTACTTTAGTCTTCAGTATGAATTATCCATCAACATAAAGAAAACAGAAATCCTCACAACTGGCCATGATAAATTGAGAAAAGATTGAAGTTGTCATTTATTTCATTCATTCCAAAATCAACACCCACAGAAGGAACAGTCACAATTCAAAGATGTGTCACTTTGGGAAAGTCCGCTGCTGAGAACCTGTTTTACATGCTAAGTAACAAGGATTCCATTTTAAAGACTAAAGTATGTGCCTTAATTATCAAGTGCTACAAGTGTATGGCTTTAAAAAAACAACCGGAAATTTATTACAATTATCAGAGAGGCACTTCCTTGAGTCAGCAGTGCAGCTTCCTGAGGAATGTGTCACCAGAGCTGCCCGCTTCCAGGTTAGGGGCCCACATCCAGGGAGCCAGTTTAGGGAAAGGCCCTCTGGATTAGTGCTGGGACTAGTCCTCATTTCCTCACACAGCTTTAGGCTCGATGTTCCTTGAATCTCAGCCATTTCCAGGGTCAGTCTCGGCCTTTTGAGTGTGAGATTATAGATCCACAATGATGCATAAACAAAACACTTCTCTGTAAGTCTGAAACCACCTGTGGCTCTGCGGAAAAAGATGAGCCATCTCCTCCCATGTAATTTAAAGCCTCCAAAAACCCACTAGAGTGTCAGCTAGGAATCAGTTCTGACTCAGTGAGGTTTAGTTTCTTGATCATAATAAACACATCTATTTTTTTAGGTAACACAGTTCAATTCACGACACTGGACCTGACCTAAGCAATAGTATTTTTCAGTTATTTCATGTTCATGTGAAAGTTGGGACAATGAATAAGGAAGGTAAAAAAATTGATGCATTTCTGTTGTGATGTTGGCAAAGAATAGTGAATATACAATGAACCAAAAGAACAAACAAGTCTTTCTTGGAAGGAGTTTAGCCACAGTGGTCCTTAGAAGCAAAAATGGTGGGGCTTCATCTCAGGGAGGTCCAGTTCCTGGGCCAGAGCATCATACTTGGAGAATTAGAAGCAAACCTTTGAATAAGATGGCAGTCTAGACAGATGGCAGTTCAGACCCTCTTTACAGAAGACCCTGCAAAACTAAGAGCAGATATGGATAATATCTGGAACCATGAGTTTAGAAAAGAAAAGACAAAGAATTGTTTCAAACACTGACTGAAAGAAGAAATGGAATTAAAACATCAAATAAAGAGACACAGATCACAAACAGCACAATGTGGCCATTTTGAACAGCTAACTACTCAAAATGGAAACAGAACAAGAAACCACAGCAGTATCCAGCAAAGTGTCTTCTCCTTTGCTTTGCTAGTCTTTTATTTCTCTTCTTCTTCTTTTCTTTTTTTTTTTCCTTTGCATTTGAATTCTCCTTCTTTTTGTATCCCTTTCAGTTTTGGTTTTACTGGCCAGTCTTGCCTTTCTTTTATGAGATAATTTCTATTTGTGTGTGTGTGTGTGTGTGTGTGTTTCTCTGTTTTCTTTTTGTGTTCATGTCATCGGCCAACAGACAGCAACAATATCCAGCCACCCATGCACCAGATGCAGCTTCACTCATCAGGAAACACTGTTGGTATTCGATAGATGGGAAACAGCTTTGTTCTGATAGAGTGACAGATACAAGACCATGGAACAGAATTGAGAACTCATAAATAAGTCTATTCACCTATGGACATCTAGGGAGCTCTGGTGGCCTACTGGTGAGGAGCTGTGATGCCAACTCAAAAGCACATGGTCTGAATCCACTTGGTGTTCCAAAGTAGAAAGATGGACAGTCTCTTCCCAAGGTATTTATTGCCACTGAGATTGTCCTGGAGAATCAGCTATGGGTTTTAAATAGAATAATATCTCTGTCCAAGATCAGTTGTCCATATTATTGTGGACATAGTGAAACAACGATATTGACAAGTGATCTTGGACAGAGATATTACTCTATTAAATGAGGGAAAAGTCAGCATCTTTAACAGATATTGTTGGCAAACTAGATACCTACTTACATAAAATGGAAATAAGATTCATATCTCACATCATATAAAAAAGTTAACTCAGGCTGGATCAAGAACCTAGGTATAAAACCTAAAACTATAAAAATTCATGAAAAAAAAATTTGGGCATTGTAGAGTCTCAGACAATTAAATAAAAGGAAAAGTGCACTATCAACAGAAGGTCAACTAGATTATCTTCTAAAAATTAAATGTGTGCATCAAAGATAAAGTGAATGAAGGAAAGTGTGAAACACAATGTATACAAATGTTGTATGTAAACCAACATAATTTTTTTTAAAAAACAAAACACTTGTAAAAAAAAAAAGATATTTTTTACATTTTTAAAATTTTTTTTATTATTCATTTTGTGTATGTGTGTGTGTGTACCGTCAAATCGGATCTGACTGGTACAGGAGGAGATTGCCTCTCCTTCTCCAGCAGAGCATCTGGTGGATTTGAACCATGCATCTCTGGAATTGCAGGGCAGCTTCTTGACACAGCAATACATTTTTAAAAAAATAATTTTAATGAGCATCTATAGAGATTTTGGATTTCCATTCACTCATTGCTGCACTTCTCTCCCCGCCCAGCCCTCAACTTCCCGCCCCCCCCCAAGTAAAGAGATCTTAAAAAATGGGGAAAAAAATATGTGGCAATGGCATATCTGACAGGGAACTTATCCCTAAAACTTACAGAAAATTCCAACAACTCAACAAGGAAACAATAAACAACCCAATTACAAAATTGTCAGAGGACATGAATAGACGCTCCATCATACTGAATCTGTGAACACAGATCGAACCCTACCCTATCCTGTGCCATTCTTACAATCTCTACCATGCTCAAGCCCATTTTTAAAGTCACTGTATCAATCCATCCAAGTTGAGGGTTTTCTTCTCACTCCCTGATTTTCTACTTTTTTCAGCAGTGCTAAAATTATTGTGTCCCAACTGTTTTAGTTACATTTTTTGTTAAAAACATGCTCCATACAGTACATTTTATATCTATTAGATGAAATCATTACATTTTCTCTCTTACAATAGTCACCAAAGAGAACCTTAAAGAGTATGTGACTTTATATATACTTACTACTTCCAAAGTACCTGAGTTTCTGGATTTCATTTGGAATAGAAGAAATGTCATTGTAGGAAACATCAAGTTCCTCAAGATACAACAAGTTAAATAACCTTAAATGAAGAGAGAAAATTAATTGTAAAAATGTTTGTCATTCTCTGAAATTCAGTAAAAGGTGGGTAGTTTGAACCCACCAGTTGTTCTGTGAGAGAAAGACGGGAAATCTCCTCCCATGCAATTTACAGCCTGGAAAAGCTGCTAGAAGGTCAGCTGTCAGTCGGTCCTGATTTGAAAGCATGTAACAACAGTAGCAATCTCATTAATTTCTCAGTTAATTATATGAAATTACCTGTGGTCACCATTCTTTTCATTCAAACATGATTTACTAAGCCCTTATCATACAGCAGAAATGGGGAAAACCTTTATTTGGAAAGGAAAGAAATCTTGAATAGGCAAAACACTACTGAAAAAGAAAAGAAAATGGAAGGGTCATTTGTACAATTATTTTACATGGTATTGTATCGTATTGTATCATATCATATATCATATAACTATTCTTAAAAGTTAAGGAAAGGTCTACATACAGATAGAATCATTCTCGGTTACCAGGGATAGAAAATGAAGGAGAAGAGAATAAAAAGGAATAACTAGATAATGCTGTTGTGTACTGTCGAGTCTGAACTGACCCATAGCTGACCCTACTGTGGGTTTTCAGAAGCAGTTAATTGCACAGGAAAAGATTGGCTGTCCTTCTCCCACAGAGCAACTGGCCAGATTTCGAGCCATGTGCCTTTAGGATTGTAGTGCAGCTTCTTGCCATTAGGCCACCAGAACGCCCCAACAGCCACTTACTAAGTGAAAAAAAAAATGATATACAATAAGGGGTTGATCAGACATTGTAATTAATTAATTACATTAAGGTAAACAAAATATAAAGAAAAAAATTTGAGTGATTTACTTAGCTTGCTTTAAATCTCTGAGATCCATGTATTTATGCTTTCCCATTATGTTTCTCATTTTTCCTTAGGATGCTGAAATTGTATATAAGTTAAGTGCCACTGAGTCGAGAATGACTCATAGTGATCCTGTGAACAACAGATCTGAATCCCATCCTCTCCTGTACTATCTTACATCCTGACACACTAGAGCCCATTGTGGCAGTCACTGTGTCAGTGCACCCAGTCAAAGGTTTTCCTCTCCTTTGCTGATCTTCTATCCTTTCCAGCATCATGTCCTGCTCCAAGGAATAGTCCCTCCTAGCAACATGTCTGAAGTATGTGAGGTAAAGCCTTATCATCTTTGCCTCCAAAGAGCACTCCGGCTGCACCCTCTCCAAAACATATCTGTTTTTTCTGCAGTCCATGGGTTCAGTGCTCTTCTCAAATACCACAGCTCAAAGGCATCAATTCTCCTCAAAGCCCTATTCATTGTCCAGCTCTCAGATGCATAGAAAGTGATCAGAAAGAGCATGGCCTCAATCAAATGCACTGTAGTCCTCAAACTGACATCATCGCTCCTCAATAATTTGGAGAGGTCCTTAACTGCAGACTTTCCCAGTGTAATGTATCTCCTTATTTCCTGACTGCTGGTACCAAGGACATTAATTGTGGATTCAAGTAAAATTAAATTGTTGATAGTTTCAATCTCCTCTCCATCCATCATGATGTTGCCTGTTGGTCCAGTGGTAAGAATCTTTTTTCCCCTGTGGTATATTCACACAATGGAATACCACGCTGCACTGAAAAACAAGGAACTCTTGAAATTGTATACAAAATGGGTTACCCTGGAGGACATTATGCTGAGTGAAATATCTCAGTCACAAAAGGACAAATACTGCATAGTGCCACTGATGTAAAATGGGACTGACGTCGGGGTTGAGGGGAGACTGAGAAAGATTGGACAAATTATGTATATTGCATTGAAACAGATGAGGGAGAGAACTGTTTAAAAGGGATATGTTGTTGTTGTTATGTGCCATCAAGTCGCCTGCGACTCATAGCGACCCTAT